AGGCTCCTGAACATGATCAAAGTGTTTTTCCTCCCCATGCATTTGGGGGTGTGTGTGTGCATGTTTGTGCTAATAGTCAAAGTACAATATTAAGCAGAAGAACATGAATCTGAGAGGTCAAACTCAAGGAGGTGGATCCTGGGCTGGCAAATGGTCAACCCCCCACATCCCCCATCTGCATATGTAAAATGAAGCAGTTAGTAGGATAGCAGATGAAGACCAGGAGACTGCAACTCAAGAATGTCCTAGGCCAGTGTTGTCTCCATGGCTGGCTGGGGAATTCTGGGAGGTGAAGTCCACTCATCTTAAAGTGGCCAAGTTTGGACAACACTGGCCTAGGCTTTTCCACTTAGAATCCAAGAAACTTAGGATTGGAAGGGGCTATCAAAGTCTTCAGCTCCATCTCTCTGCTCCATGCTGGCGTCCACAAAAAAGCATCAATAGAAGAGAATCTCTATAGCTCAGGGTTGAACTGTGGAGGCCTTGGGGTTCTCTGAGCTTGGTTGTTTTCTTCCAAACGTTTCATTATCCAGCTAGGTCCTAGTACTGAAGATGTTACCTAGCTGGGTAATGAAACGTTTGCAAGGAAACAACCAAGCTCAGAGAACCCCAAGGACTCCACAAAAACGCATCCCTAACAGTGGCTGTCCAGCCTCTGCTGGAGCACATCCAGGGATGTGGATTACCAGGAATCTGCCTTCTTGTAACCTCTATCAGTCCTTCCCTGTCTTGCCCTCTAGAATCCTCAGGAAGTGAAATGGTCGACTCTATCACCACCCTGTAGGGGTGGGTTGCCTTCCTGCCTCCCTTCCCTTCCCTTCCCTTCCCTTCCCTTCCCTTCCCTTCCCTTCCCTTCCCTTCCCTTCCCTTCCCTTCCCTTCCCTTCCCTTCCCTTCCCTCTCCTCAATTCCCAGACAACTCTGGGCGGCTTACATTTTAAAAGGGAGACCAATAAAATAAAAATGAAAAGAAAAAAGAAACATATATGTCTGGAAAAAGACAAACCCAACACACCAAAAGCAGCAGAGGCTCGACCACCACTCCAGCTGCAGCCCTGGGACCAAGCCCAGTTCTCAAAGACTTTTGGAACCACGGTAGGATTGGAGCCACGAGGATCTCCGGAGGGTGGCTGTTCCAGCAGGCAGGAACAGTGACAGAGAAGGTGCACTCCCGAGGTCCTGATAGATGGCATTGCTTGATTGAGGGGATTGTAGAGTCAGAGTTGGAAGGCTTCTCAGAGGTCCTCTAGTCCACCCGCCTGCTGGGTGCTTTCTCTTTCACTTGTGCACTTAGGATATGTGGTACAACATACAGTGTTGCGAGGTTCTGTGCAGCAGTGCTCAAAATTCATTGGATGATGACCTGGGCCATAAACTAGACTTTAATGAAGGCCTAGTTTGCCATATTAGAGTACTATGTAATTTGATATAGTCTTCCACATACTAACCTTTTATGCTCCCCTCCACCCATCTATTGCCCCTACATACCCATCTACCCCTTCTTTTAGATTCTTTTAGACTCTTGCTTTTTATATCTACGTATATCTTCTAACTTTTCCTATTTGTTTAGACTCAGATGCATCTTCCATGCTTTTTAAGTGACTGTACCCCACCCTCCTTACGCTGGTCTGTGACCGTAATAAAGATTTGATTTGAGGATGTTTGCCTGTCTGTTGCTTGGTCGCTGCAGCGTTGCAGCGATGGCTTGTCTGCTTGAATGTGCTGTCTGCAGGAAGCCCTTCCTTTGCTCCGTGTAGACCACACGCGATCCTTTCAGAGGGAGCTGGTTGACATGCCCAGTGGTGCGATGTCCCAAGCACAGCTCTTGGACTGTCTCGCAACACACATAGAAAGGAGCTGGGCTTTGACTGCACAGCCCCAGCCATCATCTTTACTGTTTGACATTCCCAGGCGGCCTGGCTTAATCAGGATTTCTTCAATAAACCACCTTTGGCTAGATCCACACACCTAGCAGAACTTTCAACGATGCTTTATTAACCACACTCATTCCACATAATCACCCTAAGCCAGTGGCTGGCTGGAGAATTCTGGGAGTTGAAGTCCACTCATCTTAAAGTGGCCAATTTGGACAACACTGCCCTAAGCTAAAATCAAGTGAACAATAGTTGCAGCAGCATTAGTGACCATTATGGGTGTGTGTGTGGGGGGGGACCCAGCTTTTCCACCCTGACCCTCTCCAAACAGGAAGGATTGCAACACCCATAATTCCCTGCTAGCCCAGACCAGGACCATGCCAACCCTAATGCGGATTTCCCTGACCTGGATTTTGACTCCTCCATTCTACATGCAATTGTTATCATCAAGTTGGGGAGGGTGCTTTAAGGGAATATCTTAACTATTGGCCTCTCCGTTTCACGTTAGGCATGAAATCTGTGCATCTTTAAAAAGTTAACATTCCTAAACTATCCAAGGTTTCTGAATAAGCTGACATCAGGGTCCAAATGTAAAATAATACTTTGGCACTGAAGTGGTACCCTCTCCTTTAAAGCTCCCCCCCCCCTTGCATTCCTTAGCAGAGGGCAGTGTTTAGGACTTTAAAAAAAAAAAAAAACTAATCTCTTGGGAGGA